CCAAAATAATTTACAATCTAAAATGTTAATTTTTTTTTTTATTCTAATGCAAAACCAAATAATGATTTATTGTTTTAACATGTAAAAAGTGGTTGTTAATGTACTGCTTTTAATTTTTGCTCTATAATGAAATACTTTATAGTAATTTTATTAAACTATTTGAAATCTAATGATTGAGAATAATGTCAAATACAAAACTCAATTAAATTGTTCTCTGTTTGTTGGGAAATGTGCATACTTGTAATAAAAATATGAAAAAATAAAATAAAAACATAATGCAAGATATAATGTATTTTTATATATATTTAGGATACATGTAGCATAACCTATGCCTGTCATTTTTCTATATATGGACTATTATGCTATTTTGTAAATGTGTACATTTTATTTTTGTCAATATTAGTATATTGTAATTATGATTCATATTTTCATGTATATTTTATTTTGGCTGAAAGTGTTAATATAAGGGGGAATATTTACAATTTAGCATTTTTTTAAAGTTCTTATATTTTGGGGGGAGTGAAATGTGAACTAGATATGTTTTTGTGATATTCACCTACAGAGCCTCTTTAACAGAGATGCTTTTTCAGCTGAACCACTCTCAGTTCCCAGCCCACACTGCAAATGAACCTCTTGACAGATTTAGAGCTGATGAATTTGAGCTCTAAAATATCTCCAATGGCACACTAAATCAAAGAGATTCTCTGAAAAAGAGGGACAGAGACTCCATATATTTTCTTTTTCAAATTCCTGAGCAATACATTCATCACTTTGCTGGTATCAGACACAGTCCGGTTAGATGCAGCAGAGGCTCTACTGATCATAACGTTGACCTTCATGTCGACCTCCAGGACATCCAAGAGGCGAACTTCCGCACGTCGAGCAGCCGTCTGCTGGCCGCGGTGATGTCAGCACTGTGTAACACGTCGGTCAAGCTGACCTCTGTCTTGCCCATCGCGTACGACGGGGAGGTGTTGCTGCGCTCCCTCGTCAAGCAGGTCAGCACTGAAAACGACTCTGCCCTCGCTCACCGCTTCCCCTTGCTGGTGGCACACATGGAGAAGCTCAGCCACGTGAGTACTAACGTCCCTTCATCTTTCTGATTTTATTAATGTTTATCTGCCTTAGCAGTTACAAAGTTCTCTTTATCGTATCAGACGGAAGAGAATCTCATGGGCATGACGACTTTCCGGGAGGTTCTGGAGAAGATGCTTGTCATTGTGGTGCTTCCTGTGAGGAAGAGTCTGAGGAAGGAGGTTGAGCTCTTTTCTCCTCATCTGGTGTCCAACACCTGCGGCCTGCTGGCCAGTATCGTCAGTGAGCTCACCGCCTCTGCTCTCGGCTCTGAGGTTAGGAGGACAAATCTCCCGCTTCCTTCTCATTCCTCACTTCCACACACACACTCTTCCTCGTCTCTTTGTCCTTCACGGGCAGAATCCCACGCAGAATCTGTATCTAGAGAGCTCCACAGAAAGATTTGCACATCCGGATTATTCTGAACATCCCTGTCCCATGTCCTTTATTTAAAAGGTTTATATTAAAATGAAGTTTATAAAATGATATAAACATAAAGACAGATCTATGCAAATATATTTTATATGTATATAATCAGAATCGGAATCTCACAGAACTGTTCATGATGGTGAGTGGAGGGAGAGCAGGGGGGTTGAAGTCCACTATCATCTCCACAGTTTTTAGCGTGTTGAGCTCCAGGTTGTTGAGACGGCACCAGACAACCAGCTCTTTAACCTCCTGTCATATATTATATATACAGTGGGTACGGAAAGTATTCAGACCCCCTTAAATTTTTCACTCTTTGTTATATTGCAGCCACCCTCATGTTCTTCATTCCCAGCTGAAGAAGAGAAAAAAAAAGATAGAAAAGGACCATATTAAGCATACTAATAAATAACCTCTTGTCATATATTATATATATATATATATAATATAAATTTGCAAAGATAAAATATTCATATATTATTAATATAATTAATTAAGACCTTAAATTTAAATGTATTATTCAATTTAAATTAAATATATTTTAAATAAATTAAATAATAATATTTATTAGTTATTTGTAATATATTTATATTTATTAATATATTTGTATATTTAAGCTTTCCCCCAAGTTCTTTGGACCCTGAACCGGTACATTTTTATATAATATACAATTTAAATCATTTTAATTCTGACTTGTGTACATTTTCATATTTTATTTCTATGTTATTTTTATGGTAATTTTTTATTGTATGTGCAGAGGGTTGGAAAAACCTGCATGTCATACTATGTACAGTTGTGTGTGTGTGTGTGTGCGTGTGTGTGAGAGAGAGAGAGAGAGAAAAAAAAAAGATTAATATATTATTTAAATATTTAAAAATATATAATATTTAAAAAGTAATCAAATATTTATATATTTTTAATAATATAATAAAGTATAATTAACAATTTGGATGCTGCACTCTGGTGGTGGATGAGGAGATACCCCCTTCTATGTAAAGCGCTTTGAGTGCACAGAAAAGCGCTATATAAATGTAAGGAATTATTATTAATTATTATTATTATTAATTTAAATGGAAATGGAAACAAATTCCGTATTTTCTAATAATATTACCAAGGTAGGATCTAAACCATCTTAAAGCCTGCCCTTGAATATCTGTATATGATACTATTGTTGTAGAAAGACTGATATTTAATCATTTGATTTGATTTGATTTGATGAAGTACCTAGACTTTTTTTTATTACATATTTTGTAATCTGGTCAACAAGACTGTACTACTCCATCTTCGTTAAACATTTTACCCTGTTTAAATCCTTTGAATTCTGTATATTTTTTCTAAAAATCAGTATTCAAATGTAAAGCGTGCAGATTCCATGTCGGCCTGCTCATGCGGGATTCATGAAACTGAGTCATGTGCACAGGTGTGTCTTCCACCGGACCACAACAGTCTGCTGCAGTCCATTTCTCTTCCGGCCGCTTCAGAAAAGGCCATTGGCTCATTGCCATAGCAACTGGCATGTCATGCTCTATTAGAGTACGTTATGAAGAGCTTTACAGCTGCTTTACTTCTCTTTAACACTGTCCGTTTCCAAAGGTGAAATACAAATCACTAATAGAGTTGCACAAATGGCATCCAGTTTCTGCTGTTTGCAGTAGCACAGGAAAAGCATGGTTGTAGGTGGCGGTTCTCATGGAGGCTCCTGTTCAATCACAAAAACATCCTCCCTCAGTTATCTGGCCTGCTGCCACCTGCTGGGAAAAGAAGTGACACGTCATCTTAAAGGGACAGTTCACCCCAAAATTACACAACTTGAACCTTTAATGTGCTGCAATGACTAAGTGTAAGTTCTTGTCTACACTTTTGAAACTTCTTTATTGTTGTGCAGGTGGACGGGCTGAACTCCCTGCACTCTGTGAAGTCCACCCCCGACCGCTTCACCAAGACCAGCCAGGGACGCAGCTGGAACACGGGGAACGGCTCGCCCGATGCCATCTGTTTCACTATGGACAAGCCAGGGGTGGTGCTGGTGGGTTTCTGTGTATACGGAGGAGGAGGCATCCATGAGTACGAGCTGGAGGTGCTCGCTGATGATGTAAGTCTTTTGTTGTATTCATCACCTGATGTTACATGGAAGCTAGACTTCTGACTGTTAAAGGAAATGTTTGTACATAAATGAATGTTCGTCATCAGCCCTCTACGAACACCTTGGCAATTGAATCGCCATTGGCTAGTAAATTTTTTTGTTTACTCGCCATACTGATAAATATATACATACACATATACATATATACACACACATACACATACACATAGACATACATACACACACATAGAGTGTTCGGCGAGTGAAAATATATCTGAGCTAAACTTATACTTAGCCTCCAACTCACACACTGGCGAGTAAAATCTGAGAATTTATTAGCAATTGGCTAATATTAGACATAATTTAGTCGCTAGAGTGAAGATTTAGTCGCATATGCGAGTGATTTACTCGCAATGTAGAGGGTTGGTCATTATTTACTCACTCTCATATGATTCCATACCTGCATGCTGTTATTTTTAAGGTGGAACATAAAAGGAAGATTATTCTTCACACAGCTCCTTTTCTATACAACAACAGTTTATTGTGAACATGTCTGTCAAGATCCAAAAAGTCCTAGAAAAGTATCATAAAAGTAGTCCATGTGACTAAAGTACCGTGTTTTCTGAAGAAGAAAAAAAACTTCCATCTGAGGTTTTCACCCGTTTTTCTACTTTACCACATTAAAGAATGCAAACATAGGGATTAAAAGTGATTGAAACAAGGAAAATAAACTTTAATAAATGTTGAAATCCCATACAATAAATGGAAATCCCCTGCAATAAAGATAGATGGTGAGAATTTGAAAAGAGAAGGAAAAGATTTAATGTTTAGTCTGGTACAGTAACTCAAGGAATATTGTTAAAATCATGGCAAAAAGGGTGAGCAGCTCACCAAACAGAATATAAAGATGAACTTAATCCAAATTTGTGGGCCCACGTACCTCTCAGTTTGACACAAATTCAATTTTTTTTATATTAATGATGTGACATTTGATTGCTAACTATTGTAAACATGGCTTTGTTCCAATATCCATGTAAAACAGCAAACTTCAAATGGGCACAAATGTGTTTGACCACCACGATGGGGCGGCTGTCACACTGACTGGCACAGCCCTATTGCACTAATAATTTCAAATGAGTTGTAACTGTTTGGTTAACTGCATTTTTGTTTGATGATGAATAGGCTGCGATGTCAAGGTAGCAGTGCTAGAACTGATATGATGTCTATGCATGCAAAAAAAAAAGTGACTTATATTCTGCAAAATATGGTTCTTGGTGCCAAATCTGTTTGAGACAAACTCGTTTTTGGGTGAACCGTTCCTGTAAGTTAGATTGTGTGTGAATGAGTTGTCCCAGTGTCTTACTAGGGCTGGGTATCGTTCAAAATTTTTCGATACCGATACCGATACCTTGACTTCGATACCGGTTCCTGAACGATACTTTTTTCGATACCAATTTTATGAAATCAGTTTTAACAAGATTACATTATCTAAAAAAAAACTTTGGTTTTATTTCTCAGCTTGTTGATGTTTATACAAACTCAAAGACTCATCTCCTGAGCCACTGCACAAAGGAACAAAATAGTTTTAATAAAGCTCAAATAGTCTTCGTTCAGATCATTTGTTTCAAGACATTTGACATGTTTCCGTCCTGAAATCTCGTGTGGGTTGAACTAATTTTTTTACGCACCTCATCCCAAACCTTCCGTTGCAAATTCCAAAACGTCATTTTAGAGCTGATAACAGAGGCTTGAGCCATTGATATGCAGGCTAACGCAGTTATTAATGCAGTCTAATGCGGTTATTAGAGAGAGGGAGAGAGAGAGATTAAGTGCGTGTGAATACCTGCGTCTATGCGTCTCTCAGCAGCGTTCAGCAGCAGCGTCTACTAATAGCGAATCTTTAAGTTAAACTCCTTCATGAACCTCGCTACTGAGAAATGTCATGTAGCTTTTCAGCTGCGAAACTATTTTACTGATAAATTCGCGGTGCAGCGCTGACAAGAAGTTTCTGTTCGCGTCTCCGCGTGTGTGCGTCTGTGAGAGAGACTGGGAGAAAGAAAGCGTGATTTCCGTAGCCTACATAAAAAAGGTGGAAGACATGGAAATAGTTTGTCATTTTTTACCCTATTGTTTGTTATATTTATTTGCTCAATGTCTTGAGCAATGCGTAAATCCGGCCCTGTTAGACGGCAATCGGAAGTTATTACAAACACTCGGTGGTGGTTTAAAGTGAGTTTTGAGTAAAAGCGGAATATAAATCTTATTTATTGTCTTATGCATGATGCTACAGTTTGCATGAATGGTCACATAACACGCGCTTTCGGTCGTGTAACGTTAGTATGAACGGACATCTGCATATGATCGGAACTCCACGCAGCTCCCGCGCTACTCTATACTGGTGTATTACAGTACCACGAGAGCTAAAGAGAGCAGACTGCTCCGTGTGCTTTCGAATCGCTCTCGCGGATGATCGATCTGCGCCGCACCTCTTCTAGTCGAACACACCGGCAAGTGCTGCAGGCTTATTGGCTCACTGACGCTGATGAGATTAACCCCTTAGGTATCGAAATTTGGTACCGAACGACAAGACGTTTTTCGATACTCGATGGTATCGAGGCAATTCGGTCGGTGCCTAAAAAGTATCGAACTCGATACCCAGCCCTATGTCTTACCCTGTTGTTTTTCTCTGTGTTCCTGTTCTGTCCATCTCTCCCATTTCATCAGGCTCAGACGGAGCACCCTGGAGATTCCGCCCACTCCCACAGATGGACGTCTCTAGAACTGGTCAAAGGCACTTACAGCACTGACGACTCCCCCAGTGACATCGCTGAGATCCGTCTGGACAAAGCTGTTCCTCTGAAGGTGCTGTGAATTTTACACATGAATCACGCGAAGCATAAACTTCACTTCAGCGCAAACTCACTCCTACCCTGTTGCTCTTGCAGGAGAATGTGAAATATGCTGTCCGCCTGAGGAACTATGGCAGCCGCACAGCCAATGGGGATGGAGGCATGACCACCGTGCAGTGCTCTGATGGAGTTACCTTCACCTTCAGCACCTGCAGCCTGAGCAGCAACGGCACCAACCAGACCAGAGGCCAGATCCCCCAGATTCTCTATTACAGGTCTGTACTTTATTCCTTTCACTGCCTAAAAGAAATCTTATTTATAAAATGTTGCATCTTGTTGATCCGGGTTGTTTGTTACAGGAGTGAATATGATGGTGACCTGCAGTCACAGCTGTTAAGCAAAGCCAATGAAGAGGACAAGAACTGCAGTCGTGCTCTTTCTGTAGTCAGTGTGGTGGTGCGGGCGGCCAAAGACCTCCTCCACAGGGCCTTTGCTGTGGACGGTGAGGATCACTTCTGTAGGCTTCCTACAAACTTCCCCATCTGCTATTGGTTGCAAAAAAGCATAGTCCCAAACCATACTCACACCATTTGTTGAGCTAATGTTAATATGTGACCCTGGACCACAAAACCAGTCTTAAGTCGCTGGGGTATATTTGTAGCAATAGCCAAAAATACATTGTATGGGTCAAAATGATAAATTTTTCTTTTATGCCAAAAATCATTAGGATATTAAGTAAAGATCATGTTCCATTAAGATATTTTGTACATTTCCTACTGTAAATACATTAAAACTTAATATTTTATTAGTAATTTGCATTGCTAAGAACTTATATTTTGTACATTTCCTACTGTAAATACATTAAAACTTAATATTTGATTAGTAATTTGCATTGCTAAGAACTTAATTCAACAACTTAAGACAACTGTAAAGGCGATTTTCTCAATATTTAGATTTTTTTTGCACCCTCAGATTCCATATATTTAAATAGTTGTATCTCGGCCAAATATTGTCCTATCGTAACAAACCATATATCAATTGAAAGCTGATTTATTCAGCTTTCAGATGATGTATACATCTCAATTTCGAAAAATTGACCCTTATGACTGGTTTTGTGATCCAGGGTCACATATGATAGAGATAAGACATTATATTTTGCTTAAAACATGAACATTTTGCATTGTAACATTAATTTGTGATAAATAACCATTTAATTAACCTAATGAAAAAATGACCTCATTCTTATTACTGCAATGTTAATAAAATAAGCCATCACCATTAAGAATAATGGAAATTGCAGAAAAAAAATTGGGGAAAATATACACACTTGTCATGAAAATTATCTAAAAAAGTGAAATTGCAATCAACCACCCCTTTAAAAAAACAAAAACAAAAACAAAAACTTTTATTCAGCAAGAATTCGTTACATTTATAAAAAGTGACAGTGCAGACATTTCTTATGTTACAAAATATTTCTATTTCAAATTTGAAAATATTTAGCTGCAAAACATATGCTAAAAATATGCAAAAAGCATATTAGAAAGATTTCTGAAGGATCATGAGACACACCAAAGTAGTTTTTACAATCTTAAGTTTTTTTTATAAAATAAATGCAGCCTTGGTGAACATAAGGGGCTTCTTTCAAAAAAAATGTAAAACCTTACCGCCTGCTAACATTTGAGATTTACTCTATTGGATATACATTGATTGATGTTACTGATGTCTCTACAGTTGAAGACATTCCAGAACTCCTGAGTTCCTCCAGTCTTTTCTCAATGCTGCTTCCACTTATTTTGGCATACATTGGTCCTGTGGCTGCATCTGTCCCTAAGGTATGGGAGTTTTTCTTCATGTAATTAGCAACCTTGGCTCTTGATGCGATAATGATCAGTCTTCTCTGCCAAGTCAAGTATTGTTAGTTCCCTTTTTCTCATGATATCTTTCTCAACGCCTAACTGTTTTAAAATTCGAATTGTTGTCTTCTCTTAGGCTGCGGTGGAAGTGTTTGGTTTGGTGCAGGAACTTCTTCCAGCTGTTTCTGCCCTGAACCAGAAATATGCCCCTCCCGCTTTCAATCCCAACCAGTCCACAGACAGCACCACTGGGAACCAGCCGGAGCAGGGCCTATCAGTTTGCACCACCTCAAATCATTATGCTGTCATAGAGAGTGATCACCCCTACAAGCAGGCTGCTGTCACCCAGTACAAGGTACATTAGTTCTCGTTTCTTGACATTCAACAGAATATGGGCAAATCTAGCTATTTATTATCTAGCAACCTGTTTACTTCACCCTGCCAACTAACTAGAATAATTTAGCAATGCTCTAGCAACCACTCATAACACTTTAGAAACTGCTTACAGGACTTGACATTAACATTGTCTGATTGTTCTTGATAACCATAAAAAAGTAGTCGGACTTTTAAAACCACAAACGCTGACCAGTCATTACATGTTAATGCAGCTCAAAAAGATGTTGACAGTTTTAAATAAGACACAAAGGTGGCATAAACTGCAATTTAAATAGTAGGGAACTGTGTTTCACACGCTTATACTGATTAATGGTTTTCATGCACATTTTTCTAATAATTTTAATCAACTCCCCAGCAACACCCTAAACAGTCGCCCAGAACAACCAAATTAACTCCCCAGCAACACCCTAAACAGTCGCCCAGAACAACCTAATTAACTCCCTAGCAACACCCTAAACAGTCGCCCAGAACAACCAAATTAACTCATCAGCAACACCCTATTCAATCGCCCAGAACACCCAATCAACTCCCCAGCAACATCTTATACAATCGCCCAGAACACCCAGTCAACTCCCCAGCAACATCCTATTCAATCGCCCAGAACACCCAATCAACTCCCCAGCAACATCCTATTCAATCGCCCAGAACACCCAATCAACTCCCCAACAACATCGTATACAATCGCCCAGAACACCCAATCAACTTCCCAGCAACATCCTATACAATCGCCCAGAACACCCAAATAGCTCCCCAGCAACATCTTATACAATCGCCCAGAACACCCAGTCAACTCCCCAGCAACATCCTATTCAATCGCCCAGAACACCCAATCAACTCCCCAGCAACATCCTATTCAATCGCCCAGAACACCCAATCAACTCCCCAGCAACATCCTATTCAATCGCCCAGAACACCCAATCAACTCCCCAACAACATCGTATACAATCGCCCAGAACACCCAATCAACTCCCCAGCAACATCCTATTCAATCGCCCAGAACACCCAATCAACTCCCCAGCAACATCGTATACAATCGCCCAGAACACCCAATCAACTTCCCAGCAACATCCTATACAATCGCCCAGAACACCCAAATAGCTCCCCAGCAACATCTTATACAATCGCCTAGAACACCTAGTCAAATCCCCATCAACACCTTAAACATCCACCCAGAACACCCAATGAACACCTCAGCAACACCCTAAAAGACCACCCAGAACAACCTATCAACTCCCTAGCTGCACCCTAAAAAACCAGCCAGATCATCCAGTCAACTTGTTACAAATTGAGATGCAGTATGACCAGTGTACCTTAACCCCTTTGCTGTCACCCCCCATTGTTGGCATGGAGACACAAATGACATACCCAAAATAAAAAGGTTGCTGCTCATGAGTCTTTCTGACTAGATACATATGGTCACAAAGCTGACACTACAAAGTTTACTGTTCAAGAATCAGAATTACTCAGACTGTTATGATAATAGAGATATATAAGCTCAAACATAAAAATATTAAAAATATTTTTTTAAATGTATAAAAAATTATGTTGCTGTGGTAGATGCTTTTAGAAACACAATGAAGCTAAAGCCACAAGTCTACTCATGCTTCATTCCAAATCTGAGGACACATCTCTAAAACTGTGCATTTTATGAAATATTTTGTGAGACCATGTCATGTGTGTTTTTAGAGAAGGCTAATAAAAGGCTAATAAAAAAAGTTCTCTGTAAGCTCTCCTGCATGCTATTGCCTCATGTCTGGCCCGACAAACTGCCCCATTCATGATTCTGTTGTTCTCACTCGACGAACCTTTCACACCTCCGCCACTGACACTTCAAAGTTTACTGTTCAAGAATCAGAATTACTCAGACTGTTATGATAATAGAGATATATAAGCTCAAACATAAAAATATTAAAAATATTTTTTTAAATGTATAAAAAATTATGTTGCTGTGGTAGATGCTTTTAGAAACACAATGAAGCTAAAGCCACAAGTCTACTCATGCTTCATTCCAAATCTGAGGACACATCTCTAAAACTGTGCATTTTATGAAATATTTTGTGAGACCATGTCATGTGTGTTTTTAGAGAAGGCTAATAAAAGGCTAATAAAAAAAGTTCTCTGTAAGCTCTCCTGCATGCTATTGCCTCATGTCTGGCCCGACAAACTGCCCCATTCATGATTCTGTTGTTCTCACTCGACGAACCTTTCACACCTCCGCCAGGTATGACACATAATCCTCATTATTCTTTTATCATTATTCTTTTATTTTTATTCAGCCATTATAGCCTTTATTCTGCCATTACAAGGTTTACCAAGCCACATCGCTTCGATCCCAATATACATTTACCCGCCTATTATCAAAAGTCTTTCTAAAAAAAATACAACAAAACGACCTTACGTCAATTATTTTGACAAAATACATCATGAAGCATAATTGCACCTGTTCTGCAGCTGCATTAGAGCTAACATTAGCATCAAGCTACATAATAATTAATAACTGTAATAATAATAATAATTTATGCATTTAGCAGACGCTTTTATCCAAAGCGACTTGCAGTGCATTCAGACTATAAATTTTTTTACCAGTATGTGTGTTCCCTGGGAATCGAATCCACGGCCTTTTGCGCTGCTAACGCAATGCCCTACCACAGGAGCACATAAGACAATTTATGACATTAATAATACACTTTTACACAAAACTCACTTTAAACCACCATCGAGTGTTTGTAATAATCTCCTTTTGCGATCTCATGTGGAATTTGGTCGTTTACTGTTGTTAAAATATGCTATTTATAGCCTTTTATATCGCTGCACAAATTAGCATTTCAGATGTACACATTCTTTATTGTTATGAAAATACCCCAAATCTCAAGAAAATCACATACAAACCATATACTATCGTAATCGTGTGTTTATTATTTGGTTATTTCGTGGGTACAGACGTTTCTCTGTGTTTGTTATGGTCAGATATGAACGCGGAAGAGCAGGGGAGCTCGTGACAGGATGAGACGGGGCTTGTTATGAGACGCAATAAGATTGACAAGGCGACGGGACGAATCAGGTTTCTCTGAGTCACAGCACGAGCACGGAAGAGTAAACACACCGAGGCAGCCCAGGGAGCTGCTAAGTTTCATCAGATCGCGTAAATCAGTGGAAAATGAATAGAAATGATGATTCTGTCTGAAGAAATATGAAGTAAATATGTCTATATATCTCCATGTATATGCATCTTTGGAATATAAGCCTTTATTGACGCTGTTCAGTGAAGCTATGTGAACACAAATAAACCGCTGCAGACGTGACTGAATATGAATGCGTGGTGAATTTCTATTCCAAATATGATGCATACGGATTTATTATTTTGCACTCCTGACATAAAACATTGTTGCAGTGACAGTAGTTTAGTAATTTATCAAAACAGTGGTCAATTATCGAAGCTAGAGTCTTTAATCTTTCTACTGATGCACAGTTTGTCCAGATCAAGTAAGAGTGTGATGACGTGTGACGTTTTAACGTGCTGTGAAAGTGAAACAACAATAATCTGGGGCCGTCGCCGATCTTTGACAATTAAGGGGTTAATGAGAGTGGTTTAATCACATTTCCCTGTGCTGGTTTCCAGGTTTCCTTCCCAGACTGCGTTCGCTGGGTGACCATTGAGTTTGATCCTCAGTGTGGCACAGCACAGCCAGAAGATGTCCTCCGTCTCCTGATCCCCAGCCGATCGATGCACTTCTCTGGGCTCGGCTCCAAATCTCTGGTTCACGAGACCATCAACAGCTGGACCGAGCTCAAGAAGTTCTCTGGCTCCAGTGGCTGGCCCACCGCTGTCTTGGTGCTGCCAGGTAACAGCGATGTCCCAGACAGCCAAATTCAGAGCTTTATAAATGTTCACTTATGCTTTCATGCTGATTAACATGCTGTTGACGTGTCAGTATTTGTTGATGTTCAGTTATTAAAAAGAACCCATTTATTGAGAATGTTTACTTAACACCACTTCAAGGCCCTTGAGCGGGAGTCTTTACATTGTCAGCAGATAAAGCTATATTTTGTCCTACAGAGGGTTTATAAACACCAGATCCCAATCAGGAAGATTTTGGGATTGTTTTTAGAATATTATCTCTGTGAGGACTGAGATCATATGCACAGGTGCTACCTTATCAGTTATATTTTTGTATTGCTGAGATACTATATTTTTTTTAATGAAAATTTTAAATCAGTTTTTATCTTTGTATTTTCCATTTTTATTTGAATAATAGTTGAAGTTTTAGTCATTGTTTTTGTCTTTCTTGTAGTTTCTTAGTTTTTTAATGTTTTTTTTTTTTATTAACTTTTTAGCTTTCGTTGTTTTAGTACATTAAGTTTTTTCTACTTCATTTTTTTCAGTTAACATTTATTTTTATTTTAAGTAAAGGCAATGTTTATGGTTGTAGTTTTCCTTTTATTAACTATAATAACCCTGCACCTTATTATTATTCAAAGTGAGTTATGCTACACTGACTCGCCCATTAACTGATTTACTTTGTCTAATATCAGGTAACGAAGCCCACTTCTCTTTGGAAACTGCATCAGATTATGTGAAAGACGAGAAAGCCTGTTTCTATGGATTCAAATGTGTAGCTGTTGGTTATGAGTTTAACCCTGGTCTTGATGAGGTATGAAATTCAATATGAATGTGTCTTAAACCTGAGCCCAATGCATGAAATTAAGTATTAACATTTGAGGAACCCTACTTTTTACCCTATGTGGCCCTGCACTGTCAAATTACATAATTTGCAGGTCAGCATCTACAGAAATATATAGAAAAGAAACATGAGCAGTGCTGTTGTTCATACAACAAATGTGTATTGAAATCTGGGTGGAAACGGTTTCAGCTTGGACATCTAAATAAAGTTCATTTATATTTACCACTACTAGCATCTCAATTATGGATGGTTTTTGACCAGAGAAAGGAATAGTGATGTATTTGAGGCATCTGTCATGTGGCTGTAAATCTGAATGTAATGTAAATGTGGCTGTGGTTTCAGGGAATTATTCAGCTGGAGAAGGAATTGGCCTATTTGGGAAGCGTGTGTGCAGCTGCACTCATGAAAAAGGATCTTGCTTTACCCATAGGTAAGAATGACTGCTGCTTGCCAGTGCTGGAGAAGATAAGTAGAAACTGTAATGTGGCACGCTACAAGCTACTCATAATTTTAAGCAGTTAAAGTAGCTAACTAATATAAAGTAGTGATACCCTTTTAAAGCATGCACTACCATTCATAAGTTTGGGGCCAGTAAGATTATTTTTTATTTATTTTTTTTAAATAAAGTTATATTTTTCCTAACCAAGATGCATTACATTTATCAAAAGTGAGAGTTAAAGGTGCCGTAGAATGGAAAACTGTATTTACCTTGGCATAGTTGAATAATAACGGTTCTGTACATGGAAATTACATACCGTGAGCCTCAAACACCATTGTTTCCCCCTTCTTATGTAAATCTCGTGCATGCAAAAGACCACTGAAAAATAGGCGAATCAGAACATAACACCGACTGTGACGTTACAGTCGGGATCACTAATAGTTACGCCCCCAACATTTGCATATACCCGCCCATGTTCTAGACTTGCACAGCCAAATCATCAGAAGTTCTGCAGGTATTGTGAAGAAACAAACGAGGATAATAGCGAAAATGGCAGATCATGGAAATAAATGTTATGTTCTAGGCTGTGCAGGGGATGTGAAGTGCAGGGATGGGTTAGTGTCTGTATTCAGAAATGCACAGAAAGCAAATAACGTGTTCTAATAAAATAACGCGAGCCACTAAAGGGACATGGTTAGCTGCTTGCTAGCGGTAGCCTGTTACATTACAGTACATAAGATTTCACTTACCACATAAACAGAGGAAGGAGAGATGACTGAGGATGATGGCGAATGATTTACAGATCCTGAGCACCACTGACAAACATCTGATCTTGTAAAATGTGTGGTAAGTACTGCCGCTGTAGTTTACACAGAGCGCGTGCGATCGCAAATCCCGAAAGTGAAAGTAAAAAGCGATTTGAGATTTTTACCCTTACCTAAGCCACATACCTTCTATGTAGATATCAGAGAACAATTTAAGATATTGTATCAATGCATTCTATGGCACCTTTAAGACATATATAATGTTAGAAAAGACTTCTGTTTCAAATAAATTCTGTTCCCTTAAATTTTCTATTCATCAAAAAATCCTGAAAAAATGTATCTCAGTTTCCACTGTTGGAACTGTTTTCAACATTGATAATAATAAGGAATGTTTGTTGAGCAGCAAATCAGCATATTAGACTGATTTCTGTAGGTGACACTGAAGACTGAAGTAATGATGCTGAAAATTCAGCTTTGCCATAACAGAAATAAATTACTTTTTAAAATAGATTATAATAGTAAACAGTTATTTAAAAGTGTGATATTTCACAGTATTACTGTATTATTACTGTGTTTCTGTATTTACACTGTATTTTTATCAAATATATGAAGCCTTGATTAAGATACTTCTTTTAAAAACATTCAAAAAATCATATTGACCTCAAATACGGTAGTGTATTTATTTACATATAAAGATGTTCGAATTAATCTCAGATAGAGTAACAGGATTTTAATGGATAAAAAAAAGAATTAATTAATCTGACCATACCTGATATATTTTTTTTAATTGATAAAATTGATACATTTGCCAATTACACTGGAACTTCTAAAAGTCTTAAAAAGTAGCTTGTTACTGGAAAAGCTACATCTGAGCTATTGAAACTTAATATTTCCTTTATTGGTGCCACTGATAAAATCATAAGCATGAACTTTGTGTCTTTTTCATCTGATTATGTGGATTATGTACCATCTTACAGGAAATGAACTGGAGGAGGATTTGGAGATTTTAGAGGAGGCCTCACTCCAGGTACTGAATTAGAAATAGTTTTGGTGTTTATGAGCACAGTACCATCATCAGACTGAGCTCTAATCGTGTGCTTGTGTCAAGCAGGTTTGTAAAACCCACTCAGGGCTCCTGGGGAAGGGACTGGTGCTTTCTCACTCTCCCACAATCCTAGAGGCGCTGGAGGGCAACCTGCCACTGCACCTGCAGACTAACGAACACTCCTTCCTAGAGGACTTCATCACCTGTGTGCAGAACTCCAGCGGCGGGCGGCTCGCCAGGTTGGTCTCAAATATTTTTCAGCTCCCTTTATTCATAAAGAATCTAATATGTACTGTTTATACATCCTTTAAAACCTGGCCCTCATCTTAGCATCTTTACCATTCTGCTGTCCCAGGTGGCTTCAGCCAGACTCCTACGCAGACCCTCAGAAGACCTCGCTCATACTCAACAAAGACGACATCCGCTGTGGCTGGCCCACTACTGTTGTGGTGCAGACCAAAGACCAATATGGAGATGTTGTGCATGTGCCAAACATGAAGGTTAACATCTTTCTCGTATCAAAAGGTATGTTATGAAACCAGCATATATCTAACTGTCTCTGCTCTGTGTTTTAGGTTGAAGTCAAGGCTGTTCCTGTCTCTCAGAAGAAGTCCCTCCAGCAGGAGAACATGAAGAAACTGCAGCGTTTGCCAGGCAGCTCCTCTAATTCCACATCAGGCACTGACCTCACCTACGGTGGCCACCCACCGCCCAAACTGGAGGCGACATATGAGCCCATGATCATCAAAGAGGCCCGATATATCGCCATCACCATGATGAAGGTTCCTCTCATCTCTTGACTTGATAAACACAGTAGCTGCGAAAATTATTTGGATTGGGGCTGCCTAATTAATTGATCTAGTACTGAAATTGTGATATGGCTTAGTGCGATTAATAAATGGCAAAGGCTGCAGTTTAATTTTACTATAAATTTTCACGTTTTAACCATCTTTCCAAACGTGTAATGAGAAGCAACAACAAAAGAGACATTTTAAGGGCTCTCTGCGGTTTTCCATCAAAATAAATGTTCACTAATTTAACATTTGAAAATTAAGAAATTAAACCAGCCATAAAGATTAGTATTGTAATTTTACATTTGCAATGTAAAGTAAAATCAAATTATTATTAGTAATAGTAGTATTTTTTAAATATCTATTTTTCTCTATTTGTTTTTTTTTTTTTTATGGTGAAATATTACAGCAGTAAGATTTCTTATTTTATTGTCCCCCTCCCCCTTTTTTGTACAACATTTTGGCCAAATTGTGCAGCCCTACAAACAAGCGAAGCAATTTTTTTAAAATTGCATTTAAAATCGCAATAAGAGTTTTTATCAGAAAATTTGTTTTTCAGAATTATTTTTTCTCTCTAAATCGGGTGGCATTATTTGGACATTTAAGTCACACTTTATGTAATATAATGGAATTAATGGCAGATCGTTTCTTCTGTATTGTGATGAACAACCACGTGAAATGGATTATTGAGGAAAAAAAATGTAGGGCCGATATTTGATTCTATCCATTGTTTGTTCATTAGATTTTGAGATGTGGCCATTGCACTCAAAAATCTATGCACATTTGCAGTTAATTCTTGGATGAATCATTCAATATAAGATCAATAACATGCATTTACAAAATATATAGGGTGAATTTTCATTACGTCAACTTTTTTACATTATCGCTTACTTTTTTTTAATGCAGGCATATGAAAATTACTCCTTTGAAGAGCTTCGCTTCGCCTCACCGACACCAAAGAGGTTCAAAGACTATTTTTCTACGTGTCACACATAAATTACAAACAAATTCAAATGTAAGACCGGGTTTCATGTTCAGTGTGTTCACTTTTTACTCAGACCCAGTGAGAACATGCTTATCCGGGCAAACACAGACGGCACCTACAGCGCTAACTGGACCCCTGGTGCTGTTGGGCTGTACACCATTCATGTGACCATCGATGGCATTGAGATTGGTAACTGCTTTTCAGGATTTATTCATCTTCATATTAGAGCTCTGTGTTTGGAGGGTGTCTAAAGTGGATCGTGTATGTTTCTAGTGCTCAAATAGGTTTTCAAAATGAGCAGTTCCTTCAGAAAATGAGAGAAAAAAATAAATATTAAAAAAAAGAAAATATGATTTATAGTCGTTTTGCATGGTCTTTTTTTTTTTTTTAAACCAGTGTAGTAACTCTTGATATTACAGAGCTCATGAAATGGGTTTGCTGACTAGAATAATGTTTGTTCAGATGCTGGTCTGGAGGTGGAGGTCAAAGATCCACCCAAAGGAATGATCCCTCCTGGCACACAGATGGTCAAACCTAAAGCTGAACCTCAGCCTAGCAAGGTGAGTTCCCAAATTCCCAAGCGACTACGGATCAGGTCTGACCACTTCAGCCATTCAATTTATACCACATTCAAAAGTTTAGGTTGGTAAGATTGGTAAAAAAACAAATTCTCACCAAGGCTGCATTTATTTTACCAAAAATACAGTTAAACAGTAATATTGCAGAATATTATTACAATTTGAAAAAACTTTTCTGTTCGAATATATTTTAAAATAGTTTATTCCTGTGATGCAAAGCTGAATTTTCAGCGTCATTACTCCAGTCTTCAGTGTTACATGATCCTTCAGAAATCATTCTAATATGCCGATTTGCTGCTCAAAAAACTATGTTGAAAACAGTTGTGCTGCTTAATATTTTTGTGAAAACCTTGACACATTTTCCCCTGCTTTTTGATGAATGGAAAGTTTAAAAGAACTGCATTTGAAATAGAAATCTTATATTAACATTATAATTTGTTCACTGTCACTTTTAATGCATCTTTGCGGTTTAAAAGGATTCATAATAATGATCCCAAACTTTTCAGACTTTTCAAATGTTCACAACTGGACTGTTATTCTCTGGAAATTATGATCAATTTTATGAAATGTATGATTCTGGAAGTTGACATCCTGTGGCTGGATAATCTCAATATCCATTATTTATTACTTAATTATTATAAATATTTTGTCTATTTACTTGTAGCTTACACCTAGCATCTATTACTTATTATATATATATATACACACACATTGGTACGTTCGTTTTTGTTTATATAGGTGAAAGTTAGTGTGGAGGGCTAGAGACTATTTATACATACGAGTGCAAATAGTGTTACTGTTTTTTTTTTTTTTCACCGTGTATTTCTTTACTGTGCATTGAACTGGGAAACAAGCAACACAACTGCGCAAAATCAAATGTCTTTGCTGCCGAATGTCTCAGCTCATCGGATGGACTGACATTTCTCTCGTCTGACAGGATCTGCGGTTCTGTGCTCTCTGTGCTGTGAAGCCTCGCTCTCTGACTGCAGCTTCCTGCCATCTTCTCGTCTGTCTCACTGTCTCTCTGTCTCTCCCCCTCTGCTTCTCTCAGGTGCGCAAATTTGTGGCCAAGGACAGCGCAGGGCTGCGTGTGCGTAGTCACCCCTCTCTGCAGAGCGAACAGATAGGCATAGTCCAAGTCAATGGCACCATCACATTCATTGACGAGGTAAACCGCTCTAGAATAGGGCCAAACTGTTCTGAATTCAAGCCCTTTTCTGTTTTCTCTTTCTTTAATCTGTGAACATAAGTATGAATGATTGATTAATGTTCTGTTTAAAAAAAAAAGGCTTTTAAAACAATTTCTGCATCTCTCTAAGCTTTCAGTTTGACTTTTGATTTGGTCACAAGCGTTTATTTGCCTATCCTTTGCTTCATTCACATGCAGGAGACTTTGAGGCTGTAGTTAAATCTCAAATAGGAACTAGCCAATTGCTAAAAAGCCCATTGCTGCATGCCAATCACTCATAGCTCCTATTAGAGCCAATCTCACATCCACAATGCTGTCGGTTGCTCTGAAGGCCCTTTCACATGACTGGCAGGTGCATTGAACTCTGTGGAGAAAAGCGTTAGCTACAGCCTTACCAAGAAACTTGCCTCAATCATTTGCTGTTGACCTTTCAAAGCACATCTAATTGGAAAAACTGCATGACATTTGCATGATAGGCCAAACTATTTTTATAACAAACACACTTTGCATTTAAAATTTTGGACACATTTAACTGAATTTATTTTTCATTTTATGGAATACTTTGTATATGCATCTTATTAATTACATAATATATTATCAATTCAAATCTGTTGTTTTAATATTTATACACTACTGTTTAGAAGTTTGGTCAATAAAATAATTCTATATATGTTTATAGAAGTCTCTGCATTCATGTGATTAAAAAAACAGTTTTACAATGAAAAATAACTGAACTATTTTATAACCGTTTTAATATACATTTTAACATATTTTAACATTTTTATTTAAGCTGAATTTTCAGCATCATTACTCCAGTCTTTAGAGTCACATGATCCATCTGAAGTCATACTAATATGCTGATTTGGTGCTCAAGAAACATTTTCAACCTTTTTCAACATTTCTATTCAAACATTTTTATCAATATTGAAAACAGTTCAGATGCTGCCTAGTATTTTAGGGGAAACTGTTGTACTTTTTTTCAGGATTCTTCAGCATTTATTGGAAATAGAAATCTTTTGTAACATTATAAATTATTTTTGATCAGTTCTGTTCAGTTTAATACATTTTTGCTGAATGGTATTATTAATTTCTTACTGTGATTTCTTACGTATTCAACTAATCTTACTGCCCCCAGACTTTTGAAGGGTTTTGTGTTATCAATATTAATAATTATTTAAATATTATATTACCAAATTTGGATCAATGTTTAATGCTTAAAATTGTTTTTGCAGATTAATTGCTTTGCAAAACTAAAATAACTTTTTTAAATGGATTTGTTGGAATGGATAGTAAGGGAATCAAATGAATATTAAAATATATATATATATATTTTATTTTACTTTCATGTCCAAACTTTTGAGTGGTAGTGTAAACTTCCTACTGTTTTGTTAACTGGCAGAAGTTACCCTTTCGATGGCACTGCAGTGCTTTTCACATGCTCAAAGTAGCGCATGACTCTCGTGCGGAGCATGTTGAAGCTTGAACTTGAGTAACGTGAAAGGGCCTGTTGTTCCCTGCTGACAACCGCCAATAGCATTTACATGCATATACAAATTCTGTAGATGACGCATCTCATTTCCCCTCAACTGGACTTCCACTGTAAATCCAATTAGTTGGTGCTGCGCATTAACGCGATTGGCTCTGCAGCCTCAGAGGCTCGTGCGAGAGGCGTCTTAGCAGTTACAGGAGGGCATGGCTCCGCTCTGTTGCTTGTTTCCCATAGATCCACAATGATGATGGTGTCTGGCTCAGACTGAATGATGAGACAGTAAAGAAGTATGTTCCCAACATGAATGGGTACACTGAAGCCTGGTGCCTCTCTTTTAACCAGCATCTGGGCAGAAGCCTCCTCGTCCCTGTCGACGTAAGTAAAAGGCCCTTCGTAGATTAGCCGGAGCCCCTACATATTCCTCATTTGGGAACGGGATTTGTAACTGCCAGCATGTTTAGGGTGATCATTCGATATACTTCAGTTTGGCTCATTTTACAGTGAACCATGGGCATCTAATGACCCACTCCCAAATGTCTACATGCATGCTGTGTCGATTACTTACAAAGACCAACTAAATGTGTCTGCATGTGTTAGTGCTACGGTGTAGTTTAGTTTGAGCATGATCACTCGGAGACCAGGATGGAGAGTGTTATGGGTGGGTGCATGTTGCCAGTCCCTTGTCTTATTAACTCCTGGTTGAAAGTCACTAACTCATGCACACTGTTTTGTAGGGCTGCACGATTATGACAAAGTTCGTATTTTGCAAGATTTTGCATTTATGTTCACATTAAAATATTATGTTTCTTGTTAAGAAAATAATCCGGTTTATACCACATTTACACCATGTTTATTATAAAGACTGGAATATACTAATAAAAATAACGACTTTATAACGCGTGACGCAGCTGACACGGAATAGCATACGATGTTTACGTTCAGTGGATACTCTCCGAAATGGCACCAGGGTGACGCGGAGGAGACGAATTGTTGAATAAAGTCGTTATGTTTGTTTTCTTTGCGTACAAAAAGTATTCTCGTAGCTTCGTAAAATTACGGTTGAACCCCATTGTTACCCACATTAAAGCACTGGGCATCATACACTTTGCCAACTTTGTAAACAGTTACAGAGAAAAACTGGGTGTCAGCAAAATTGCATAGAAATGTGCACCTCTTTGCTAGGAGACACATGACCAAGGCTTTAAATTTGATTAACTGCGATTTGATCGCTTCCGAAATAAACGTTTGCTTTAGAACGTATCACCTTATTATTTCCATGGTGTTTGTCATACACGTTACACACCGCAGCCACAATAGTGCTGTATGACAGATGTATCACTTTTTTATTTCGTTTTTCCTTTTTTATTCAAAATATTCACAAACTTTAACTATGTCATCAACTGTCTGATATTTTGATTCTCGAATATGTGTAAGTGAATGTGTTTTGTTGTTTACAAACTAGTGTTGTCAAAAGTACCGACTTTGGTACCAGTCGGTACTGAAATTTTAAAAACGTCCATTTCCCGCTAACATTTGAGCGCTGTTGAGCCGATTCTTAAACATTGCTGATTGGCCAATGTGTTCACGCGCTCAACAGATGTGACTGTGATTGGCTACAATGATCATCGCTTCTCGCTCTTCACTGAGCGTAAGCACACGGGAGCGTTTGAACAAACACAAACCCACATTGTTACCCACATTAAAACACAAACCCACATTGTTCGGTGTAGTTTTGCAGCTATCAGAGCAGAAAGGAAAGCTGTTGCTCTCCACATTGTTTTTCATTTTATGTTTATGTAAAGTGTGCAAGCTTTTTCGCAGATGTAGATCGATAGATAAGAAAAAGCCCATTCATACACCCGACCATTGACCCTCCCATTAAAGTAATCTGGAAAGTGGTTGAAAGTGAACAAAAGAGATGGATTAAAACACCATGTGCAGTGTTTCCCACAGACTTACACTCTTTGTGTGGTGGCACTTCGCCTGGGGGAAATATATATGTATATAATGTAAATATAAAACAGCAGACAGGCTTATTGAAAGTACAAATTCATTCTCTGCCAGCAGGAGGCGCTTTAGGAGCGGCAGAAATAGCTGTTTTCCCGGTAACGGCTGTAATCAAAGCAGTGCTGCGCTGCGCTCATGAACGCTACTTTATCAGGCATTATAGGAAAGATTAAATGAAAATGACATCAAAACTTTTCTGAAGACAATCGGTGCCTTTCAAAAAAGATACATTTATATAAAAACACCCGTGCCGCGTTATGATTTTGAAACGTGCAATGCTCATGTTTATTGCGGGCCACCACAAATAAATCAATGTATGGGAAACACTGAGGTGTGAATGGGAATGTGTCTGCCTTGTCTAGTTGTGATCTGATTGACCAAAATGTATCTTAATACCAGGTGTAAACAGGGCCAGATTCTGAAGCAAAAAAAAACACAAAAAATCTCTCCATAATACATTATAAGATTTTCTGCAAAATAGGCCAATTACTGCATCCCAAAATCTGCAGACTGACTTTGACTTTCTCCAACTAGTGTTAACTCTTCCAGACTGCAAATCAAGAGCAAAATCCTGTGCAAATGTTGTTTTGTGTATTCCAGTGTTCTAGGTTTGGCATATCACTCATTCCGGTGTATGTTAGCATCTACACTATCTACATTGTAAGCGAGTGGTGCAACATGTCATGATTGTTTTTGATTTGCTTTTACAGCTTTTTTTTGGAATGTCAGGTCATGTTTCTTCAACTTTCTTTCTCGTAACAGAAATAAAACAAGTCCAATGCGCAAACAAGGTGACAGGAATACACCTAAAGGAAATGCTGTAATTGATACTTCATGATTAGTTTATTGTGACAGCTGTAATCATAATCTCTTTGATTAATTGTGCAGCCCTACCGTGTTGTTACTCATTATATGTGGTGTGAAAAATAGCTCTTGTGTGGTAACGAATATCAGTGTACAGAGCTTTGCTGGTCATGACATGAGCTGCATCAGTGCGGCCCAATGAAAACTTTAATCTCTTCACATAACCAATCTGAAATTGTAAAGATTCATTTGCTTAAAAATTTGTTCAGTGAAACCTTTTCAGCATTTGGTTTAAAGGTGATTGATCCGTTTAAATTTCTCACACTGAATTAGCTGTCGGGGTCCCGCAACTTTTAATGAGGTTCTGCCATGAAACAAGCCGTTGTCCTAAGCCAAGGCCTGAAAGCAAGTGATTCGGAGAGCATAATTACCTCTGGATGTGAAAATATCATCAAGGCTCCCAGTATGAACAGCATGGCACACCACCGATCTTTTTTGGAAGATTATGAAGCTTCATATTTCTTATGTGATTTATTTTTCATTTGCCGTATTTTGATGTGATTTAAATTCTGTTGCAATTGGAGCACAATCTTCTGCAGAATTAGGATCGTTTTGTTTTCTAGACCTTCTTCTCAGCCGTCAAATTCTTCTTGTACTGTCTCATGAAGAAAATTCAAAAGAATTAAAATGCACATAAAGAAACTGTCACTGCAACAAATCCATCTCTTCCAAAAAAAGACCAACCATGCCATCTGCGTTTCTAATTGAAGGGAATTCCTGATCGTGTTTTGACTTGCTTATAATCTGTTGCTCAGAATATCTTTAGCACTAGCCAAGGAGTCAGGGATATCGACTTTTTGTCTTGGACGACCTTATCTTGTTTTCCTCAGGTGAGTTGTGAGATGAGGTGTGTGTAGCTTGGCTGCTGCTTTGCTTTTCGCCAGTGTTTCCCATGTTTTTGAGACGTTTCAGATTGTGATTTTTACATGTAGTACTGGAGAATCATCAGAGTTGCATGTTTAATTGTGTAAATTGTGTGAGTGAAACAAATATATTTTACCATCTTTTCCTTGTATGCACAAAGTTTCCAGTAACACGTTTTGAACCTAATGGTCATTACATTGCATTAATGTTAATCTTGGGTAAAGCTTTTTGCGTTTTCATGTCGTAGTTCACAATTAAAACAATTTAAATTCAGTTGCATGAGGATTTAAAGAAATAGTTCACCCACAAAATAAACATTTTGTCGTCATTTACTCACCTTCATGTCCTTTTTAAAAATTAGTATGCTGTTTTCTTCCATGAAACACAAAAGGTTAATACATTTTTGAGGAGTTTTCACACACTTTATGACAGTTAATATTGATCACATCTGTTAAAGGGTTAGTTCACCCAAAAATGAAAATTCTGTCATTAATTACTCACCCTCGTGTTGTTCGAAACCCGTAAGACCTTCATTCATCTTCGGAACACAATTTAAGATATTTTTGATGAAATCTGAGGGCTCTCTGACCCTCCCATAGACAGCAAGGTAACTACCATGTTCAAGGTCCAGAAAATTACCAAGATGATCGACAAAGTAGTCTGTATAAGACATCAGTGGTTCAACTGTAAAGTTACGAAGCTACGAGAATTGTGGATGCGCGTTCACGACAGTAAATAACGAAAAAATGATACTGTCGTGAACACGAGTCCAAAGTGACGCAGTAGAGACGAAAATG